TCACAATCATCCTATTTTGGTATCATCTGTAAACTTCACAAGTTTACTGTGTCAGAAGAAGTCATTAATATAAATTAGGAAAAGCAGAAGTCTTAATACAAATCCCTGTGATACCCATTGCTAATTACACCACCTCAATTTTCTATTTTCTATTTTCTATTTTCGGTTTTCTAAGCACGTCCTTGAATGCCTACAAGAGAACCTTGAGAAACTTTATCAATTTTCTTTTAAATTTTATACATCTAAATATACCAAACTATATCTTCAGTAACACAATTAGCACAAATGCATTTTCAAAGACCTCTTAATTAAGCATGACTTATCTGTTGTACTGTAAATCCAGACTATCCCTGGAGTTCTATTTCGATATAATTTATGATTTTGTCACCATTTTGTTTTGAATGTTTTTAAATAAAATGCCTGCATTAAAAGAATCAAAGAATCTTGAAGAATCAATACAAAAATTGATCCCAAATTTCTGGCATATCAATATACAATGTGCTAATTATAAGAATGACAGATAATGTCTGCTAGTATGTACTGTATACCTTGCATGTTTGTGAATGCTTTTGACATTAATTATTACACAAAATATTGAAATAATGAAATACAGCCTAATTGAATTACCTCAACCCCCAAAAATCTCTTCATTAAACAAACCAAAAGTCAATGACATTGCATTTTATATATGCAGTTCATTATGCTACCCATTCAGGAGCATATGGCATTTCAGCTTTAATCTGCAAGTGATTAATTGTTCTTTGTGGAAATGCTGAGTCCAGTTTATCTAAATTACATTAAAACCCCTTAAAGATGCAACTTCAAAATGTTTAAAATGCTTTATTGGGGCTTTTATTCAAAATAGCAGTAATTTATCAGAAACTCATGAGGACTTTAATTATGCTACAAATCATATCTGAATGTTTCCAATGCCGTATACAGAACATAAAGGTTAATTATATGATTTAAATAGTAAATGCTGTATTAATATTTCCTCACATATTTCGGCAGGGAGAAATATATAATTTAAACTATTCTTACATTAGTGAACTAAACATTGCTGTAAGAAATAATAATTCACTTTATGGTATCACTTTGTAGGGTACTTGCAACTCTGTCATGACTGTACAGGACAGACGGTTTTATATTTTTTTTTAGAGTCTCATAGAAAGAGTACAATGAGTCAGTAAAAATTAGCATCCACTGATGAGTTACTCAGAAATGGAAGATCTTAGCTGACGTTCAGGAGGGATGATGACAACCAAGTGTTTTCCCCTAGATCATCATATTCATTCCCGGTTTCATTTCTCAAACTACAGTATATTTAATACACAAACTCTCTCTTTTCATATTTCACCTCACACATCGCAGCTCATCCACCTTTGTATAGGTAGCTTCCCCTTGGTTAAACCCTCACTCTGATTGGGGGTCTGAGACTCCTTGTCCTACTGTACATCCAGGGGCTGGTCTTCAGACAAGCGTATTAAACCAAATTTCACTACACCTAAATACTGAATAGATCTATTCAAACACCTATAATTATTGGATGCCATCTTTTCAGTTGTGTTTTGGTGATGCCCAAGGTCATCTGAAACATCATTAACTTTGAAGATACAATTTTCAAGATTCAATAATGCTTTGTAAGACATAAAAATATATGAATATACAACACAATCCTATATTCTCTTTTTAATTGTTTTCCTTTAGATAGTCATTAAAGCGTAGTACACACTACACCACAAAGAGAAGGTATACAAAAAATAAAATTCTATAAATAATGCTAATTTATTTCCTTTTCTTCTTTTTCCATGTGTGTGTATTGGGGGAGGGGTTCACTCACTAGTGCAATCATAGGCTGATGCAACTCAGTGTGACCGTTGCTTGTTAATGCCTGGTGCAATATCAGCCACAGTAAGTCTCCTGCAGTCATTGAGAAATAATGTTACTGTATCTAATAATAATAATGTTATCATTCAATTTTAAGGTTATCTGGGATAATCTTAAAATTTAATAAAAAGCCAGCCAATGGGAATTATATATTCGGTATAAAGCATTTGATGAAGAAAAGGGTTAATTTTATGGTGACAATCTTATATATTGGACTGCAGTGAAAACAATGCTTCAGAAATTTTGCAGCACACATCTCTTTTCACTGAAGTAAAATGTTTCTAACGTTTAGACCAGTTTATTAATTTTGTATCTCTGGACATAAAATATTGTGCACAAATGTGTCTGAAAACATTACACACCACAGAATAAAATATAAATGTGGTGTGCCTGTGTACACATTTAGTATTTTGTAAGTTCTTAAATTATTCTTTATATTCCTAATTAACTACAGTACCACTGAAAGGAACAATAATTGCTCTAGTAAAGGTAGGCCTACAATTAAATGTATTTATTTCTTTTTATGCCATTTTCGTTAAATTGCTTTACTAACACATCTCTGTTAATTGGTTTGGTTTATAAGTTTAGAAACAGTCAACAGACAAGGTCTCAGCATAATCAATGACCAACTGTTCAATTGCTTCAAGTTCCATGTCTGAGTAGTAAGGATCAGAATTATTTCCAAGGCAATAATGTTGATCATGATCACACTGCCCTTTCACCAAGATTCAAAGACACCTGCACAGAATACGGTCAAGAGCTTGTAAAATGAAATAAATATAATTAGAAACACTTTGATGGAAAGAATAAAACCTCCCTTCCTTTTTCACAGCTCCTGCAGGGTTCAGCATTTCTGCAGCATTGAGTCTGACATTCTACACAAAGCCCTTAATATGTTGAGTTTACATTGGCAGGGGATATCCCTCGCACACTACTGAGAAAAAAAAAAACCTTCACTATAGAAGCCACAGGAAGAATGTCCACACGCACAACCACATCCCACCAGTGTTCTTCTTTGGTTCACAGAATGTCACTTCAGTGGAAACCATTTTCTGCCAGAACTCTTTTCCTTTTCTAAACTGTCCACAGCTATCAATCAGACCAGGCACTTTATGTTGTTAGAGAAACTGCACATACTTCCAACAGCACACACACTCTTGGTCCATCTGGCCACTTCAGGATCACCTAGAGGGCATCACGCTTGGCCAGTCACTCATTACGTTTAGTGTAGTGCTTCACCATTTCCATCAGGGAAACGACTCTCCAATTACTGTATTTCGAGTTTCATCACTGAGTAGCCAGGATCATGACCGCACTGACTGCTCTGTTTGTCCTCAGTATCATCATCTGTATCTGAGCTCTTTACTTCAATTAATCCTTCATGAAACCAATAAATTACTTAACTATAACCCTTGCAGTTTTTTTGTTTACTCAAAAGGTTACAGATTTTTAAGTTACTTAAGAAATGCAATAGGCAATAGGTAATCTCCTTTTTTACTGAAAATTAAAGAGTTGGAATTAAGCCTGTATGGGGGTTTTATTATTACATTTATTGCTCAGGTGGAACAAAAACCAACAGTGTTCTGGTCCCCAGAATCAGGATTGGGGAACCCCCAAATTTTGACTTGCTGCCTTTCACACCTCAATCTATAATCAGTTCCTCACACTGCCATCTAATCATCCTCAATTTAACCACCTGATCCCCACTTTCCCTTCTTTTATCTTTTGTTTGCTCCACCCCATCTATCTTTCTCTTATATCTCCATTCTTTCACACTTTCACACATTGTGTTGTACTCTTTTTTTTCTATTTATAACATGACAACCAACCTGTACTTCTTCCTTAACGTCTTCCTTAACATTAATAATAGATGGGAGTTTCATTAAAAATTGATTGATTTATTGATTTTTGAGTTTCATGATAAACTGTTCCCTGGTTGCATCACCCCTCACTCCACACTGCAAATGAAAAGGAACTCTCTCTGTCTCTAGAGACACCCATTCAGAGCTCTTGGACATAGCTGGCCTTCCATTACATTTCAGTATTTTAAAAGGTTCGTGAAAAAGAACACTTCAACTGGCCTCTTATCTCTGTGACATTCCTTTAAATGAATGACTTCATAAAAAATGGCAGCATTTGTATCGTTATTGAGAACTTTTTCTGAGCTTCAGTCAGCTATTGATTCAAGGGATTCTTGCTTTGGGAAAGGGGGCTGAGTATGAGATTCACTCATACTGTAAAAATCACTCTCTCAAACAAGACCTCAATAAAGTTCAAGAAAAAAAACTGAGTAATTTATAATATGTTTATTATAAATTATAGTATATTCTTATACTTGATTTTATAGTATACTGTATATTATACTGGAATTATACATGTATTTCTGAAATCCAAGACTGCCCATCTCTAATTGGCTTCAATTCTCAGACAAAATGTAATAGCATAAAATACTGACTAGATGTGTTCCTCTACAGATTCTAGATATTTCATTCACTTTTCTGATTGAATACAGTTATCCTAAATTTTTACTTTCCAATTAATAACTAACATTCTTTTTATTTTGTATTTCACTTTTTAAAAGGATCATACTTTGTATTTACTTTAAAAGTCAACTTTCTCCATTTAGACTTACATTATAATATATTCAGTATACTCTTCAAACCATTAGCATTTGATTCGGATTTTATTCATAAATGATATATATATATTTTAAATGGAAATAAAAACATGTACAGTACACATGCCTTCAGTTACCAATTCCTCAAAAGCCTTACAGAATACAAAATCTCATTTGCCTCTGTTTTTTGGGAGAACCAAACTGAAATGAAGGGCACATTTGAGATTAAATTCATTTCCCAATCTTAATAACTTTCAATAGATCACTGCTGATTCATTGTTTAATATAGAGTGTGCCATTTTGTCTGTGCACCATATAAAGCTTTCATATTTAATAAGACCATCAACATGACTATATTTGCTCCAGCATCTTCACAGACCCTTCATTTCACTAATATTGAATATTGAAATGTTAATAAGGATTTAAGAGACCTCTCTACCTCTGCACCTTTCGATAAGTAGGCTGATCTTGAATATAGTCCAGTTTGTTAACTTACCCAGATTTGCAGTTTAATCCTTTTGTCATTCTTATAGACAGTTTTCACTTTGAAATCAATACCCACAGTGCTGACAAAGGCAGAGGTGAAAGAGTCATCAGCGTAGCGGAAAAGAAAAGAGGTTTTTCCCACACTGCTATTGCCAATGATAAGCAGTTTAAACATGTAATCAAAGTTCTGGTCAGATGTCTCCTTCTGGCCAAATTTAGCATCTTGGGCAGCAGCCATCTGTAAAATGAAAAGAAAACAGATGAATAAATGTCTGCTGTCCAAAAATCACACACATCCCTTACATAGTAGTTTTCTGAGCATACTCCATTATGCCAGTGCAAATTTAGGAAATGCTTATTGTTAGCATAAAAGTATGTAAAGTTATACTTAAATATCTTTCCTGTGTTTAACTTTATTTTCAGAATGACATTTTCCATTTTCTGTCCTTCTTTCACTGTGTTTCAAACCTTATTTTATTCAAAATGTAAATTTCATAGCTTCAGAAAAACAATTCTGATGCTAGACCACAGTAATCAAATTCTAGAGTGCCTGTTTTATTAAATAAAACATCTGTACATTCAGAATGGGAAACATTACATCAGCCATGCCAGTGTTTTACATTGACATATAAACATGCATTTAGAAAGACCTTCACTGGCTACACCATAAATTACAAGGTAGATAATATATTTATAGAGTTGAAAAAGCAACAAGTTGCAAATGTTTGAGAGTATATACAAAATCCAATTAGTTTTACCAAACAGCATTCAAAGACACAATCCTAAAATACTGGATATGTGCTGTAGTTAATCATAAATCACATACTTAAGCTGCAGCTTGATTTTCAATATTGCTGAAATCTGTATGCTGTAATTAAATGTGCCCAAGACACGTTTTACCAAAGCAATGCTAAAGACTAGACAATATTTCTAATTACAGTTATAGTTCTACCTTTTGCATGTGTAATGGCTCAGAATTTAACACTGGTCATTAAATTTTCCATTCTAATTTCTGGTTCAGATTATTTGGAATTTATCCATTCATTATCTAAAAAAAGAAAGTGACATTCACTAAGGTAAGAGCACATGTGTCAAATAAAATGGTTGCTCATGAAAAAAAACTCTTTGGACTGGATCATTAAATTATGCACGCTCCAATACAGACAAACATGGCTGCAAATAAAATTTGTCCATTTCTAAATAATGTATCATGTCAGAGAATCCAACATAAGGTGAACCTGCAAATTTTAAAATCAAAATGCAGGTCTGATAAGAGCGTTCATGTAGCTCAGTTGACAACTTTCTGGACAATGGAGTGTAGAGTCCACAAAAAAAAAACATTTATTTATATATATTCCCAAATCAGAAGACATGACTGTCATCATTTAATTGAACTGCATTTTATCAACAAAACTAAGAATGTGAACAGATCCTTGCTTCCTTACTGGGGAGGGCTAACCTCTCAATTTCTTTTAGTTCTAAAGAGCTAACAGGTCGGGTAGCCTGTAAACATACAGTATCTCCACAAATGTTAGTCGATAGTTTACACATACTGAATGAAGACCGGGATAAATGGCTGACCAGATGTCATAAATGTTGACCTAGAAGTGTCATCCAATGACAATCTAATGACATTTCCTTGTGTTAATACTGTGTAATAAATTGAAACCAGGTGTGCACACCGAGGATAAAAACTCCAGTCATCACAGGCCTCAGGGTGTTCTGTTTTTTGTTTTGTTTTTTATGCCACCTGGACTCTCGATTATCTACAGTAAACAGCTTAATTATTTGCTGAACTGAGCCAATGTAACAATTTTTCTGCCACATCTTTAGAAACAGAACGTACAAAATTTCAGTTGGAATTTCTTTTCATCTCTGATGTTAGAGTCTCCATGCTATTGTCAATAAAATAGCAGTGCTGGATCAGAGAGCCATAGAGATACGGAGATACACGTTCATAACTTCCTGGATGGATTACTGCAACTCTTCATTTGCTGGTCTATCCTTTACTAAATTTGTTCAAAATCTGTTCAAAAAGCAGCTGTGAGAGGTGTTTTTTTAAAAAAACTAGACACAATCAATAATTGGACCAGTTTTCATACATTAAATGTAGTTTTAATATTTACACTGGTTACCCATTTATTCATATTTTTAAAAATGCAGTAGTTAAAACTCTTAATGCTTGAGAACACACACATTTTAGGAGCTACTTGTTTCATATATTCCTGTATGTTCTCTGAGGTCTGCAAACACTGACTTTCCTGTTGTTACAGAGTCCCCACCTGAAATCAGGTGGAGCTACAATTGTTTACTGAAATGCTTCCCATCAATAGAATTCTATTGCACTTTATATTAGTCAGGCAGGAAGCATGAAATATTAAAAAAAAAAGGTGAAAACATTTTTATTTGAACATGGTTTTATTCAATTTTATTGTTTTTTTTTTGCAGTTGCTGTTTTTCAGCTTTATCTCTATGCGGCATTTTGGGATGCTTTGATATGAAGAGTGCTGTATAAAAATAAACGACTCCTGCAATATTTGCTCTGCTGGATTGTAGTCATCTTCTGTATATTTGATTTTATATGTATTTTTTTGTGTTTTAAACATTGTTGTAAGACCACATTAATGCAGGTAAAATATTTTACAATTTACTCAGATTGACAGTATGCAAAGCCCTGGCACATTTTTTTATATGTGATTAGTCAAATTGCTTACAGAAGACAATGAGCTATGATAAAGTTATCCAAGTGATATGCAAATATTCTGCTTTAAATACTGAATCCACTCTTATGACTGTAAGCTACCCAGATTCCAAAAATTAAATAGATGCACCCCAGCAGAAGTAGCTCTCAATGTTATCACAAACGAGCCTGACAATATCACAATCACAATCTGTAAACAGATAGCTGGATCAACAGACAAATCTGATGGTTTAAGAAGTACCAGTTTTAAGTCAAAATGCATTGTCATTCAGTGAAAAGTAGAGTAGTCTACAAAAGAAACCAGTACTTCACCTTTCATAACAATTTTGTTAAGTAGCTACTAAGTGTAGCATTTAATATCCCACATTAAGGTGACATCTGGACATCACTCAGAGACTTGATTCAGGATCTGTCTATAATTTTTAAGTTTCGGTATCGAAATTGAGCATCCCCCAATCTATCATTCAAATGTTACTCCTAAAATATTCAATAAACATACTGTATAACTCAGTGTATTTGAATTGTTATAGATTTTGTAATACAATATAGAAAACGCGACATACAAACTATGAGATTTGTAACGTGAAACATTCATTTTAAAAGGCTTGGAAGTATTTGCAATATCATTTAAATTGTACTTTCAATTTCAGAAAAGAATAAAACTAATGAAATAACTGATCGTATTTCACACAGAAATCTTTCAATGTTTTACGACCATCAATTGAATAAGAATTGAAGGTTGGAATTGTACCATAAATATTCTTACAGAATATATGAAGTCTTCGTGTAAATGTCAACATCCGATTTAATTGCTCTACATGCGGTTCCCCATTTTTGCGGGTCGTTTCTGCTTATATAAAATAGGCAAATCATATAATCTCACCCCCACCCCCTCCAAATAAATACAGAAAAATACATGCATCATTTGAAATCGTGTTGTTTATATATCATTTGGTTTAGTTTACAACGATTTCAATAATTATCGTCATTGCATTCATTAAACGTTATTCCGGCATAAAACGACGCTGAAATGGCATTACAACAGGAGCTATGGACTTGCACGTCGTAAGAATATGCCTTTCGTTGGCTTGTTTATACTTTCTACTACTTACCACCCCCTACACATATAAAGGGTAATAAATTAGTGGTAATTAATTTTGGATTTTTGTGTGCTACGGATTCTACCCATTACAAATAAGAAAAACTTACATAGTCGTTTATATGTTTTTAAAAATACATGCGAAATGTACAGACCTGCATAGGTGCTTCGTGTCTCATGTTGCCAATGACTTTAGTGATCTCTGGATTCTGTAATAATGCTATTATTAACACTCCAAGGATGCTCTCCCAATGCCTCCCTAACCTCTGCAAATCAGCACTGGAACTGTCCTCTCCTCACAATCCCAACGGGCACGCGCTTAGTCGCGTGCGCACGCACCAGGAACATTTCATTAACAGATGTTCTCTGGGGTTTGTAGTCTTTTAGCTCAAATGACAACCAACGCTCTGCAGAATTACTAATTTGGGTAAAACTACATTATTCGGCATGCAATGCATTGATAATTGCCAGGTAGATTTAGAGCCATGGAAGAGCTTTATCTTAATGAACGGAGCCATATTTCTAATAAATCGTATTTGTATCTGGCGGACTAATTTAATAAAAAAAAATATTCTATTTTTTTCCTAAACCTGTACATCAAAAAGGCGTAAACCAATTACATTTCTTGAAGCATTCTAATGTAAAGACATACCCTTATTTTAACAGCATGACTTTTCTACAGAAGTGGTGACAGATTTATTTTCTTCGTACAAAAAAAAAAGAATGAACTTTTACTTATGCATGCAGTTTATAGTTAGTTTTCCATATGCAGATTATGCCTTACCTTTCCGTATAGTTCCATGTGTGTTATAAGTGAAGTTGAGCGGTGTTGTATTTATTGGCAGCGTTCTGTAGACCACTTTCACGATTATATATGTCCTTTCTACAATTAAACATAAGGATTTTGGTGATACTTAGTGAAAACGTACAAATGCTTTAATAGTCTACATGCACTCTGCAGTCGACTCTTGCGAGCAAATCAATCGCCGGCAACAGCACGAGTAAAGAAGAGGGCGCATGACAGACATCCTGTGCAAACACGGAGAGAGGAGACGGCTGGAGCGGAGGTGCTTAAATGTTTGGAATTAATTAAATGTGGGGAATAAAAACAGCTTTATAAAGATATTTAAAAATGTACTGTTTTCTTCCTAAATAAATAGTACTCGTGACTGAGTCACACGGTGACAATCACTGAAGTATGCTAATCAATTACAAAACTTTATAAACAATACAGTATAGGACGTAATATTAAATAGGCAATTACTGTAATTTAACAGTAGTACAATGCGGTGTAGCTCTTTTATTATTGAAAAGGTCTATTGTGTATAATATTTATATTCCGTATTGGAATGTACATAAACATGTGGTCAACACCAAACCTAGCTATCGGTTTATTTGATAATTTAAGGTGGCGAGGTGATTAGCACTGCTTCTTATAACGTCAATGACTGGAGTCGATTCCAGCCTTCAGTTCCTTTGTTGCGCCTGTGTGTCCTCCCTGTTATAGCATGGGTTTTCACGGCTTTCTCCGGTTTCATTTCACTTCTCTAAAACATGAGAGGTTGACTGGTGTCCCTGGGAAACCCTCCAGCTTCCATAAGGACAGCAGATGGGCTGCCCTCCTCCACTCTTGTTCATGAATGGAGCTACTGTGTCCAAAGCTTACAAATGATGGTGTTATATTCCATGTCCATCTGAAGTCAGAGAAGGCCATTTGGATTGTCTAATCTGTATGATTTCTAGCACCTCATTTATTTGAGGCTCTAGTCCAGCCCTTGCTGGCTTGTTCCATACTTCCACAACCCTTTGCGTAAAGAGGAGCCTCCTGTTTAAAAACGCACGTCCACATAGCTTCCACTTGTGTCCTCAGGTTCGTGTTTCACTGCTGATTCTGAAGTGCATTGGGTTGACTTTTTCAACACCTGTGAGGTTTTTAAATACTTGACTAAGGACCCCTCATATCCTTCTCAGTTGAAGGCTACAAACGCGCAGTTAGTTTAGCATTCTGTTAATCCTGGAGGTACAGTATAGCTGATTCCAGAGCTGCAATATGTTTTTTTGAGTGGTTACCAAAATTGTAAAAACTCAAATGTGGTCTTACAGGTGCAGTGTATAATTTAACATATAATAACATCATTGGATTTTAATTTTTAGCCTTAACCCATTGCAATATCTTCTTGTAATAGGAACAAACCTCTGATTATGATTCCCCCGCTTCACTGACTGAACCTTGCTTATCTGTCTATAGAAGGTAACCAGAGCACATGTCAAAACCACACATATACAGTACATAGGAGCCTAAGCAAAGTCACACCAACAGGCTGGAATTGGACAGAGGAACTTAGAGCTTTAATGCCTTAGTTATAACCATCATGCCTCCCACAGCTAACAAGAGGAAGCTTAGAACATTCATTGCTGAGGCTGATGTTAATGTTTAATTTTTCTCAAATAAACTCAAATAACCAAGACCTTTGAACAACCATCAGGAAAAAAATAATTTTCATACTATCATTAAGTCACTCATGCATCTGTTGTTAAACATACTAAACAGTTTATTACTTGGCAAGAGTACTGCAAATTAAACATTTTTGCATACAGTAGTGTACAGTACTGTATGTACAGTATATAGAGCAATTTTTGTTTTAAATACTGGAATACCACATTGGCTGAGGTAATGAACCTTCCTCTTTATCATTAATTAGGAAGAATGTCTTGGTGTGGTAACCTTTTTGCTAGGCTAAATGTACAGAATGAAGTATGAGCTGGTGTATGAAGTGTCTGATAAATCAATTTGGGATACTTTTAGATTTACAGAGCCTCTCAAGAGCTTAAATGTTGAGGGCACCTGTCCCAGTCCCTACAACCATAATATCAAGCCAGGCTCATAACCCCAGTTGTACAGCTTTTATTAAAAAATGGGAAGGAACTACAGTATTAGTCTGCCATTACACTTAAATATCACTGTCAGTTGTACATATATGAACCAGAAAACTGCTGTCTGTTGAGGGGTGCAATATCTAGATATAAAAGTGAAGCAGAATTGATCAATATTGTTTTCCCTCCGTAGTCCTTCCATACATACAGTAACTCAAAACTGAATTAGACCCACGGATTCTCAAGTGGAAACTTGATTAACTGAAATGAATCAATTTAGATTTCTGGACATCCTCAATGTCTTAAAACTTGAAATTATTTTTTTTCCTTCTGTTTTAATGCAAAAATATTTTAGAGATTTAGAGACATTTCATTCTTTGTGACTAATTCTAGGTCTGTCAATCCTTCTGCATTGCAGATGTATGTGTATTGCTACTTTAAATCTGCATATGCATGCAATATGAACGCTTAAGAATGTTGTTTTGTACTGTGTGCTGCACTCCCATTAGAGATGGTTCTAAATCAACATATAAATCAGTTCTCCTTTCCTTTAATGGCTCAATGGAAAATGTGCCCTTTTGGAAATCTGTTTGAAGCCAGAAATGAAGAATAAAGGTTTCGGATTTAATTTGTGAAAATGTTGAATCCCACAAGAAGTGTCTTAGTTTCAAGTAGTAGCATTCATTCTGTGGACAGACAAAATTGTTCTGGACAGCTACTGTAATGCTCAAACATGCTAGGCCAATATACTGTATCTATTTCTAGATTCATTATACATATGTAAAGTTTATACACAGATAAACTCCCTGGAGATATATTATTGCCAATCTTCTTTTGACTATCATAAAAAGTTCTTTATCATACATTTCCATCACCATTGTTACTGTAGTTCATGATGATATTCTGTATCTCATGAACACAAAAAAATGAGAAAGAAAAGAATTGCTAGAAAATTATTCATATGTTATAATACATTTGAAAAACAAGGTGTACTTTTAAAGATTCATACTGTACAATGAAATTTTAATCACAATTGAGGCACAGGCAGAGAAATGTAAAACGTATTATGAAGAGAAATAGAAAAAATGTTTTTCTGACTATTAACAAATAAGACTGGGACTCAAAAACACATGTACAGAAAGTCATATATCTGATATTGGGGTTTGTGTTCTCATTTCTTGCTAACAGGTACTGTAAGTCAGTAAGCCTGCATCTCCGAATATTTTTTGTA